GGACCCTGCTGTGCCTTGCCCAGCAGGGATGCTCAGGAGCAGGGCCGGGCGTGCTGGCTCGGGACCGCCCCCCCCCACCCCCCCAACAAGGAGCCTTCTAAAATAACTGCAGCACAGAAGGCCCAGAATGCATTTGGACTTATATTTGGAATTGCTGTTGGAAACAGTCTAGGCCAAATGTAACACCCATCTGTTGGGGATGGTTTCTGAGTAAGAAAATGAGGTGGTGCCGCAGGAGCCCGGGCAGCCCCCAGACTCAGGGCTGGCTGGGTGTCAGGGTCCGAGGGCCCTCACTCCGCCTGGGGCCCCACCCACTCCAGCCCCGGGGTCTCCTGCGGCTGCGGCCGCTCACTTCATGCTGGCCCGCCCCAACCGAGGCAGTTTCCCTTGAATGGAACCAGCCTTTCTTCCTGAACCTTCCATGGACGGGGCCGTCCTTCAGGGGTAGGGGGCCGATCTCCCAGCTCTGGAGAGGCGCCCTTCCTACCGAGCCTTGTTTACCGGCTGGAGCAGCCTTTCCCCCTCACTGTGGCTCCCGGCACCTGCCTGCCAGGGTGCGGCAGACGGAGACCCTCCCACATTCTCCGTGCCTTGCCTCTGTTAATGCATCCTGAGCTGCATCAGTGGGCCTGCGGTCCTGTGACGAGTATGATGAGCCGGTGTCAACTAACCCTTTGTGTGCCTTCCCTGTGGCCTCTTTCCCCCGCTGCATCCCTGCATCGCTGATTTTAAAGACAGAACACTGACGCCTGTGTTTATGTCTGCACGTCTGAACTTTAATGAGCTGCCTGCTCCAGTGGTTCCAGGTTCATTTGGATACTTGTCCTCGATACATCTGCTGTCCTGGGTATTTTCAGAATAGTTTTAACCCATTGGTGGCTTTCATTCATCCCAGGCCATTACCGACTCTTTCCCCCCAGAGGGTAGTTGTGGGGAAATCCTGGCACTGTTAACGGCAGACGGTCTTGTGAAGCATTATCCCAATTCTACCAGGGGCCCCCAACAGGCCCCCTGGAAACAAGAGCTGGTGTTTTGCTTCTGCCTTCCTTCCTGTGTCCCTGTGGGAAAGCTGACCGTGTGGCCATCAAACCTGCACACTTGGGACTCCTGCCAGGGCTCAGGGCGGGAGAGAGGTGCTGCCTGGAACAGCTCTGCAGTCTTCCTGGGAATCTGGGTTTCGAATCTCTGTGGCTTTCCCAGGTTCTGTTGTACCAGTGACCGTAAACTTGGTGGCAGCTCAAGACAAAATTTATTCTTCCATAGTTCCCAAGTCCCACACCGAGGGGTCAGCAAGGTCGGAGGCTCTGAGGGAGTGTTCTGCGCGTCTCCCGGCTTCCGGTGGCTTCCGACCACCCTTGGCGGTCCCTGTCTCCAGTCCCCACCTCTGTCGTCACCTGGGCTCCTCCCCATGTGTCTGTGTCCCCTCCTCTTCTCAGGAGGGCACCAGTCACTGGGTTTAGGGCCCACCCTCCATCCGAGATGTTCTCGTCTGAAGACCAACAACATCACGACATCTGCAAAGACCCTGTTTCCAAGTGAGATCCCATTCCCAGGATGGGGGAGAGGACTTGGGCGTATCTTTTGGGGACTCTACAGAGTCCCCATGGGAGGTGGCCATTACCACGGCGAATGAAGCTCCTGTTTGGACGTTTGCCCATCAAGTGGGGCGTGAAGGACTAGTCCTGACAGCCACGCATCCCAGCACAAGGTGGCTTTCAGGAGTCCCAAAGCCCCCCGCCCACTCTGTGGGCACATCCAGGGTCCCTGGGGCAACCGAGGCACCAGGGACAGTGTGCCTCATTCTGGCCTGGCTCTGAGAGGCCGTGCACCTGACTCACAGCAGGCGGGGTCCTGAGCTCACTCATGGCCCCCCACACGGATGCACAGGAGTAGTCTGGGCTGAGTGGGGCGGGGCTTGCCCGGTTGAAACACTGGGCACGTCCCAGCTTCTCCTCTGAAGTCCTTCCTGGTCTCTAAAGAGTTGTGTGGGATCAGCAGATTCCTCACAAAGTTACTTTATTTAAAGTGGAGGCAGCTCTAGGGGTTCTTGTTTTATTTATGAGCCAAATGCCTACAAGAAATGCTATTACTGCAAAATAAACTCTCAGTATGGAAAGCTTAAGTGTTGGGGTGGTAATTTATATGATGGCATTCCAGTTCCACCAAAGAGTGGGGATCGTTCTGTGGGAGGCTCTGGTGAGAATTCTGGACTTGGGTTTCCTATGAAAAACAGATTTTGAGTTCTGTCTGCGGTGGCTCAGTGGGTGGAAGCGTCGTCCTGCAAAGCAAAGGGTCGCCAGTTCGAATCCCGGCCGGGGCACGCGCCTGGACTGCGGGTTGGGTCCCCAGGGGCGGGGCCTGTGAGCGGCCGTCCACCGATATTTCTCTCTCACGCCCATGTTTTTCTCCCTCCTTTTCTCCCTCCCTTCCCCTTGCTCTAAAATAAAAAAAAAAAAGAAAGAAATAAAAACAGGTTTCGACGACAGTTTTGCAGGCACCTGGTACCCGTGTACGGACGGCGCTCCTGGGTCCGAGCCACACCGACAGGCCTGGTGCTCGCTGTGCGAGCCGGGAGTGGGCCCTGCAGTGCCGTTGCCCTCGGCCCGCGCAGCCGAGCTGCATTTTGGGGTCCACGCACACCTGGTTTTGGCGTCCATCCATCAATCAGCCTTTGAGGTCCCACTGACTGTAACTGACCTGCGGTGACAGGCGTTGTGTTTCGGGATTGATGGACGTCTTGTGTGCAGGGAGGGAGGACGGCGGGGCTGGTGCTGGGGACACCAGGGGCAGGCGCACGGAATGCCAGCACTGTGCTCGGGGAGTTCGGCTCTGGGGGACCCACTCCCCGGTCCCCGAGCCTCTCCCTACTGGCCCATCTGGAAGCAAGTCCTCCTGGAGCGTCTGTCTGACCGGACGAGGTGGACAAAGCCCCTTGCAGGGTGTTCGGGTTCGAGGCGACCTGTGGGCAGACCGCAAACATCCAGCGACCCCGCAGAGTGGCCTCTGTGGGCACGGGCTGCGGGTGATGTCTGAAGGGCCAGTGTCCTGGGTGCCGTGCCAGGGCCCGCGGGGAGGGAAATCAGGTCCCTGAGACTCGATCGGAGTACTCATGATCAGTGAGTCTTTGTGTCCCGCTCTGACCCTTGCTAGACGTGAGGGGTCCCGGAGAAGGACCACCTGCGGCCGACCTGTGCGAGGGCACCGGCGGTTCCTGCAGGAGTGGGCGTGGCCCGGGGCTGGGGACGGCGGAGGTGCTGGCCGCAGTGGGCAGAGTACCTGTCACGCCCCCGGACACGTGGGGACGCCCAGCAGTAAGACGGGCTGAACTGTCTGCCGTGGGAAGAGAGGAGCCAAGTCGGAGGAGCCGGGGGGACAGAGTGGGAGCTGAGGGGAGAGAGAGGCCGGGCACCTGGCCCGGGCACCTGACACCTGGCCTGGGCACCTCGTCCGGGCAGCCCGGCTCCCCGTGGCAGCTGGGTGCCGTGTGTGCGCCAAGGGTGTCAGGCACAGCTGGGGGTGCACTCAGAGGCACAAGACAGAGCAAGTGAGGGGTTTTGAAAACCAAAACAGGGCTAAGAACTCAACCCTTTCTGCGACCAGAAGCTGGGAGAACAAACTCACGACTGGGCAGGTCTGTGAGAGGAGAAGATCGCCGGGTGGCGGTGGGGTGACATTCCGCTCGGCTGCAGGGTAGGATGCTCTCTTCTCTGCTTTTATGGGCACTCAGAACTCCCCTCGTGAAACGGTCCAAAAAGGTCCACGGTGACAGACACGTTTTCAGAGGCCATCTGATGCGTCTGTGTTTCTAAAAACATTAACTAGGCAGATACAGGCTTGAGTGTGCATGGAACATTGCACGGAACATTTCTGGGAGGGTATTTAAGAAACCGGTAACAATGGTCCCCCTGGAGAACCTACCAGGATTTTTCCTGCAGGCATCACTGGGGGTGGCGCAGGGTGAGGGGCCCGATCAGATGGGGGGGGCACTTTGGCTAACCCTGGGCGATGCAGAGACAGACACCCAAGTCCGCCAGCTGAGGCCGAGCGGAGGAGGAGGTTCGGAGGACCCCGAGCAGCGTTTGGTCGGGGAGAGCCCGTTAGCTTCCGTGTGCAGCCCCGTGTCACACGCGTGGTGGGGTCCATAGGAAGAGGTGCGTGTGTGGCGAATATACAGGCCTACAGGGGTGTGCGTGCCTGGGCATGTTTGTGTGCTGTGACTAAACGCACGTGGTGGGGACTCCTAATCCAGAGAGACACAGCTCATCATGTTCTTAATGTTCGAACACCTGTGGAAAGGACCCGAATTTCAGGCGGAATTGTCATATTGCGAGAGCCACAGACGTTCTCCTGCTTCTTGCCTCCGACAGAGGAGGGGGCATCCGGAAGAAACATAAAATTCATGGCCTCTTTCTGCTGTTGTGCAATTTCGGTGACCTGGTGGTGTTTGGAGTTCGAGATTACTGTGACAACAGCCGTGGCCTGAGGGGGCAGGAGAGAACAGAGGAGAAGACCAGTGGGGGTGTGTCTGGGGCACCTACAGATGCGTGGGTGGGGGTGGCCCGGGGGGGGGGAGGACAGGAGGGGCAGGGAAGGAGGGGCAGGGAGGTGATGGGTCTGCAAGGCAAGGGAACAAAGAGAAACGCTGGAGGGTGTTTTTTTTAACATTTTATTTATTTAGTTTTAGAGAGGGAAGGGAGGGAGAGAGAGAGAGAGAGAGAGAGAGAGAGAGAGAGAGAGAGAGAGAAACATCAACGTGATGATTGCTGGGGGTCGTGGCCTGCAACCCAGGCATGTACCCTGACTGGGAATCGAACCTGCGACGCTTCGGTTCACAGCTGGCGCTCAATCCACTGAGCTACGCCAGCCAGGGCTGAAATGCTGGAGTTGTAACGGACAAGACTGGGTCAGGTCTCTGTGCGCTGGTTTCCACTGCTCCTCTCTTCTAGTAGTGTGATTTCCCACGCGCGCGTGGTGAAAGTGTCGGTTTGTTTCATCCGCAGGCTGTACTCCGACTATCTGTACTTCGCCAGTTCGAACAAGTCTGCGGATGACTTCCACGACAAAGTGACGGAGGCCCTGCAGCTGTTCGAGAACTGCATGCTTGACTACTCCTTGCGCGCCTGCGTCTACAACAACACCCTCAGCAACGCCCTGCCTGTGCGTGCCCCGGGGGCCTGGCCCCACGACGGGCGGGGAGGGGGGCGGGCGGGCGGCGTTGTGGGGACGGTGCCAGGGGTCGTGCATGGGGATTTTAGCGTATATACCCAGAGGAGCATTTTCATGTGGGATTGGCTGCCCCCCACCCCGGCCTTTGAGCTGGCGGCTGATCAAAACCAAATATGCCTGGGCGTCTCAGTGTGGAAAGCCGAGGGGCCCTTTTAGCTGGCAGCCCGCCCTCCTCCCCGCTGATCTCCCGGGAGGAGGCTCTCTCCTCCGTGGGAGAGGGAGGAGGGTGCTCTTAGGAAGATTACCGTTTAGCGAGCTTCGGGAACGAACACACCGTGCAATTAGCATCGGCAGACGCTCCGACGCCCGGCTCCCAAGCTTTCTTCACGTTCTCCCCAATGGTGGGCTGTTTGGTTGGCTTCAAAAAATTACCCACCCGGGACTTCCAATGCTTCTTTGACAGGTTCTCAAAGGAAAAATATTTTCTTTTCTTTTCTCTTGTTTGCCTTTAGGAATGTAGTTATACTTTTTTGTATAGCTGTACAGCAATGGCATTTTTTTTTTAAATGCAAATAAGCTGGGAATGGTGAGTTCAGCATGTTTTGCTCAGGATGGCCCCTCCCCCGGTGCGGCACCCAGGCTTGTCCTGGGCACCCTTCCGGCAGGCCTGGTGTGGCGAGCGAGCCCTCTCCTGCGAGGCCAATGCCACCTGCTTGGGGCATGGTTCACGAGCCTTGCTCTGCCGACACTGTCACGTGGGAGGCACGGACAGATCTGCTGGGGTCGGAGGCTGGGAACCCCAACAAGTGTGTGGGGTTCAAGGTCAACGGGTTTTACTCCCTCCTCCTAGTTATCAGGGCCACCCGTGGGAAGGCAGGTGCAGCAGGTAGGGTTCCAGGCTGCGCTGCTGGAGTTGGTAGTTTGGCGGGGAAGCGGCAGCCAGGGCACAGGTAACCACAGGATGCGGGCGGTGGTGCCGGACGGGGAGGTGGCCTTCGGAGCCGGACAGCGGTGCGGGTTCAGCCCCCAGGTCGGGCCTTTACTAGCTGTGTGACTCTGGGCCGTTGTCTTGGCTTCTCTGAGACGCATTGCTTCACTGTGAAGTGGGCGGGTCAACGCTGCTTTACCCGGCTGCCGTGCCACTTAAGGAAGGAGTGGCGGTTCATCGAAGTGTGGTGGAGGAAAACCAGCTCTGGCCCGGGGCCCGGGACTTAGAGTGACAAAAGCAGACTGGCGAGAGAAACACCCTGTCACCCACGGCCAGGTCAGGGACAGGCTGCCACTGCCTTACGCAGTCCCATCCTGTCACAAACTCCTGGCCCCTGTCCTTCTAGAAACTTCTCCGGTGGCAGAGGCAGGCTCTCTGGAAGACATAAAGCTTACCAGCCCAGAGAGAACTGAGAAGCTCTGCAAAGCCGATGCCTTCACGAGGGTCCGTCCTCCCGAGGGTCCGTCCGTCCGTTGGAGGCGGCCCGCTCGATTTCCCAGGCTGCGCGTCCCCCTTCTCCGAGGCTGCGGCCCTGCATGGGGTCGGGTTGTGCACAGCTCCAGAGGCGGCCGATGAGTTTGGGGACAGCTTACCCTCTGCTTATTTCCCTTCCTCCGCGGCCTCCCACTCGGTGAGAGGGGTGACGAAATGGGGAAGGGACGGGGAGATGCAGCTGGTGGTGGCCACCCGTGTGGTGTCATGCGAGTCCTCGTCTGGCTGTTGCCAGGGTGTTCAGCAATTCCACGGCGAGACCGACGAGCCGGGGCCCGCGGCCGGGTGCGGGACGGGACGATGCAGAGCCGTGGTCCCTGCCCTGGAGGAGCTGCTAGGGAGGAGAGGGAGTGTGATACCGAGGTGTGTCAGCCTCAAGACCTGGGCGGGGGGGGGCGGGGCCTGGGGAGCTGGGCGTGCAGACCCCTCCCCGGATTTCCACACCTGGGGACCAGGCAGGCCTGGCACAAGGGCCAGGCATTCAGGGATGAAACGGGACTACGAGTCAGGTGACAGTGCCAGGCAGGTGTTGCTGGGGCGCTGAACTAGGCGAGGTGGGCAGGCTAGAGGGAGGCAGAGGGGAGATGGGAATGGCACAGGGGCCCCAAGTCCCCGGGGAGAGGGGGGGGAGGAGGGGCTTCTCAGGGAGGGGACGGGCTGCTCTCTCTTGGAGCTTTGCCCGGAGCTTAGGGCCAACTGCAAAGTTGGCAGGGACAGTCCCCGAGACTGCTGTCACTCTGACAGCATTTGCAAGTGGCAGGGGCCCCCCAGACCACCCCCAGGTTCAGTAATTCACAGAGAGGAGTCACAGCGTACACCAGGTGGAAACTGTAGTCATGGTTACGACTCACGTCAGGGAAAGGACACAGATTGGAATCAGCCAAGGGAAGGAGCACTCGGTGGGGGAGGGGGTGGGGGGTGGGGGTGTCCGAACTCGCAGCTTCCGGCCGTCCCCTGAGGCAGGGGCAGCGTGAACACCTCCCTCTCTGCCTCTGGGCGTGACCGCGACTCAGAGGGCTGCCGGCCAGGGAGGCCCACCGAGGCCTTCCGTGTCCATCCAGACTCCTCTCTGGGGCTCCATCACGCACTGCCCGAGGGGGTGACCGTCTGTCTCCGGTCCTGCCTGGAGGTCGGGCTGACACGGAGAGGTGCAAAGGCCCTGTCAGAACTCATGGAGTCGGACCGGCCCGTGGCCAGGTCCCCCAGTTGCACAAAGACTCTCACATCAGGCAGGACGTCCCAGCTGGCCCAGAGGTCACCTCCGGGAGCTGGAGACAGAGGCCTGGCCTCTCTCTGGGGGAGGTTAATTCTTCATACCCAGGCTTGCCCTTTGACACGAGGGAAGGCCCAGCAGGAGGACAGGGACTGCCTCCCCGCCCCCCCCCCCGCCCCCGCCACTTGTGTGGGTGCTTACATTCCAATGTGCAGACACCCTCACGGGCCTGTAGGCCAGCACGGCCCCAGGCTGCAGCGGCTCCCTCACCTGGCTGGTCTTTGAGGTGTTTGTAGGTGTTCTTTGTGGCTGTCGTGTGCTGGGCACAGGGGCAGAGACGGCCAGGGTATGGTGCAGAGAACATTTGCATCTTCAGTGGCTCTTCCACTGGCCTCTTCCTCGGTAGCAGTCCTTGTTGTGCAACGTGTCGTGGGGCTGCGGACAGGGCCGTCTCGAGGAGGAAGTGCCACCCCAAGTGGGAATCTGCACGGGAGGCAAGAACGCGTGGCATCTGACGTCTGGCGTCTGGAGACAGCTGTCTGCTCGGATCGACCCCTCTTCGGGGCTGGTCCACGCGGATGGGCCACGACACTTTGGGAAAAGTGCCGCATGGTGCCGGCAGGGGTGGGGGCCGTTACTCCTGGGGTGACGCCTGCCCCCTCCTCTGGTCCCAGGTGCGGCTGCAGGTCGGCCTCTATGCCGTGTACCTCCTGGACTGGCTCACCGTCTTCAGGAAGGAGCAGTTCCTTGTCCTTCGCCTGGAAGACCACGCCTCGGACGTCAAGCACACCATGCACCGGGTCTTCCAGTTTCTCAGCCTCGGTACGAGCGCCGCCGGGCCAGAGCGCCGTGCGTGCTGGGCACTCTCGGGGTCCCAGGCAGACTCTGTGAGCCGGGCAGGGTGGGCTGAGCTGGGAGGCCACTCCGCCTCTGTCTGTGAGCTGCCAACCGCTCTCCGGGCCTGTGCGTGGTGTGGGGGGGCATCCCTGGGGAGGAACCGACGGCCCCTCATCTGGGAGCCTACCGTCCACTGGAGGGAGGGGACACGCTGCGGCTCTAACACCTGGCAGGATGATGGGGAGGGTTAGCGTGGTCACAGTGAGTGTATCCAGGTGACCTGGGGTCCCAGCGGCTGAAGGGAGCGTGGGAGGAAGTAGTCCGTTAACTGAGCCTTGGGGGTGGGCAGGATGTCGGGGGGTGGCTGGGACCATCCTGTGGAGGCCCCAGGGCCCGCAGGAGGCATCGGACAGGGCATCACGTTGTCTTGAGTGTGGGGGCCCCTGGGATCCGAGCCACGGGGCGGGGGCACGGGCTGCTGGGCCTGGCCCGCCATCACCTTCTCCTTCTGCTAAGGCCCGGGCCCACTTCTCTTTGACCTGGCTCCCTGTACACTCCAGCACGAGCGAGCTTGTCTTTCGTCCCCAACATGCTCGGTTGGGCCAGTTCTGCTCCCTCTGCTCCACACGCCGAGGCTGTGGCCAGACCCCGAGAGCCTGGGGCCAGGAGGCCTGGGCCTCGAACCGGCGGCAGGTGACACTGGTGGGGGGCTGACGGTCCAGAGGGCCGGGGTGGAGGTACAGCCTGGGGTGGCCATCCTGCTGGCTCGCTCCCGGGTGGGGGTCCCGCCGGTGGGGTCTCTGAGCACAGACAAGTCCCCCTCCTCCCCCTCCCCACGGCCACTTCACAGCAGGGCACAGGGTGAGCCACGGCCCCGCCGTGGGCCCTGTGCATCCGCAGCCCGCAGTAGGCATGACGGTGGGCGGGCGAGTCGGAGAATCTGTGCACGACTGTGCCTGGCCGGTTGTGCGGGGGCCCGGGGCCCGGCGGATGGCGGCCGTGGGAGCCCGCGTGGACGGACGGGCAGTGGGGAGAAAGCCGGGCGGCGAGGTTCGGGGAGGAGGCAGCCTAAAACACCGGGGTGCCTCCGGGGGCGGGCACCAGACACGGGCCGTGGGGCCTGGGGCTTCGGAACAACGCTCCGTCTACTGTCCCCCCTCGGCAGCCCCCTGGTGGGTCCGGCCCAGGAGCTCGATCTCCACACACACTCTCGGGGTGCAGGGGTGGGGGGTGGGAGGTCCCCGTTTCAGCCCGCAGCCTGGCTGGGATGCCTGCAGCGGGTCTCCGCCTCCCGCCGGCCCCCCGCCTCACGGGCCTCCTCCGTGCCTTGCAGGGCCCTTGAGCGAGAAGCAGGAAGCCCTGATGACTAAGAGCCCTGCGTCCAACGCCCGGCGGCCCGAGGACCGCAGCCTGGGGCCCATGTGGCCGGTCACGCAGAGGATCCTGCGGGACTTCTACGAGCCTTTCAACGCCCGGCTGGCGCAGGTCCTGGCCGACGAGGCCTTCACCTGGAGGAAGACGTGAGGCCGGGCCCCCGCCGCCCGCCCGGGGCCTCCGGCTTCGCTGTCGCCGCGGTTCGAAAGCCCCCCTCTGAGGGGAGCCACTGTACTCAGAGCGAGGAGGGAACTCCGAGATTCGAGGCTCCCTTCCCTCCCAGGCTCATGTGGATTAGGACCTTCCAGCATTTCCTTTGCAACGTCAAACAGCCGGCACCGACCCTTCTCCAGGCTCCTCCGCCCCGGCCGCCGGGAGCCCCCTGCTGGACGGACCGCCTTCTGTTCCCGGCCCTGCCTGCCCGGGGCCCCTGCTCCTGGGGTGAGGCTGGTGGGCACCGCTCCGGGAGCCGAGAGGGGAACCCCGGCCTGGCACTCGACTGTTCTGGGGTCCGGCCGAGCACGCTCGAGGTCATGCCGTGGGGCTCGCCAGCGCTCCCCCCTCACATGCAGTTCTGGAACATTCTGTGGATCCCTACCCACCTGGCAGAGATGGGGGTGTTTTTATCCCCCCACCCCCCTTCATCCCACAGTCAGCCCTTCGTTCCCTGCAGAGACAAACCCCGTGGCCTCTCGGACCACCCTCCACTCTCTTCTCCTGGACTTGGGTCTAACACAGAGAGTTAGACAGGCTCTAGCGGCTAGTGCGCTAGCCGGAGCTCTCCCTCCCGCCTCTTTAGATGTTTGCTCCAGCATTTATTCGGTGTATAATTGGAATAGGCATTTGTAACCGAAGGGGTGACTGCGGCTGTTCACGCCAGGCTGTGCAACTTCAGGGCACCGAGCGCTTCCTGGGAATCTGGGGTCCGGGCCCGTCCTGCGCACAGGGCCGCGGAACTGCGGGGGGACCTGACGTTTCGGTCTGGCCGCCCGGGCTCCCTTGCTCTGCCTTCCCGTGGGTGAGCCTGGGACACTCCCCCCACCCCACCCGCTCCACCACACATGACCACAGGCCTGGCTCCGCCCACAGACGACACGACACCCCTGTGCTGACTCAGAAACAGCGCACGGGCTGGCCTGGGGCCGAGCGTGGCATGCCAGGGTTCTGCGGGCACCTTGCCGGGCCGCCTGGCCGCTTGCTTTCCCCGTGGGTGGGCTAACGGTCTGTCACTTCCCGGAGGTGATGGGCAGAGACCGACAAGAACCCGGGCCCCCTGGGCACACAGCCCCACGTGGGAACCAGTGACGCTGTGTGCTTGCGTGTGGTCGGGGGAAGCTCCCTGCGCACGCACCAGAGCTCTCGCTCACGGTCCCGGACACCGGGTCAGAAACTGTCGACGCCCATCGGCACTCACAGGCGTGAGCACTGGCCAGGCTCCAGCCGCAGCCCTCGTCCTTCTGCGGCGCAGGTGGGACGCACCACCCGTCCGAGGGCGTGCGGGGGGCTCTCGGGGCGGGCACGGCCCGGCTTTTTCTGCTACGGAAGGGGCTGTGTGTCCCCAACACCCGCCTCCAGGGGCAGCCCCCGGCCCTTCCTCTCCCGGCCGGCCCTTGGAGCACACGCGTGCACTGGGGAACATCATGGCAGCGTGTGTGTATGTGTTTATTTGCAGCACGTGTGTGTGCGAGTGCATGTGGGGGAAGGTGCCTTTTCTGAGCGGGTGCTCGACAGTCCCGTGGGTGGCGAGGCCGCTCGCCTGGACGCGGCCCTTTCACGGAGTCACGGAGTAACCTCTCTGCCAGCCACCTTGTCACTTCCACCACGTGTGTTGCGGCCCCGCCCCGCCATAGCTGCAGGGCACTTTTCTCACGCACGCACTCCTGTGCATGTGACTAACATGCAGACTCATTCTGCTTCTTACAGAAGTACCACGGACGGTGTTATTTCCAATATTATTTGGTGTATTATACAGGTCCTTTCACACACGCCGGCCCGCCCGTCCTGTGCCCGCCGGCGCCCCCAGGAGCAGTTTCCGTCCAGGGGCCCTTCTCCGAGGGCGATGCCTCTGCTCTCTCTCCCTCGCTCGAGGTCGAGGCTCGTTCTTGTCGACGGCGGAGAGGGGGTCCTGAGCCTGTCCCCCCAAAACCAAAGCGAAATGGAGCGTTTCCCACGGCCCATTGCCTTCTGCGGACTTTGCCTTCTGCGGAGCCGTGGGCGGGGCTGTCCTCCCTTCGCCCTGGGAGCGGTGTGCGGCGACCCGCAGTTGGGCTGAGCTTTTATCACTATTTACCAGAATTAAATGTGCGCCCCGTGGCGGGTGCCCGGATACACAGGCTCTTCCTCGCCGCCATGAGCCCTTGTGGCGGGTTCTCCGCGGTGTCCCCAGTGCGTGAGCGAGTCTTGGAAGGGGGTGCAGTGTCTCTCCTGCGTGCGGTGTGCACCTTCTCTGTGAAGGCGACCTGCTCCCCTCGGTGGCAGGTGAGAGAGAGGCAAGGCCCCGGAGGGAAGGGCTGAGGTGTGACCAGGGTCGCCCCGTGCGGGCCTGCAGTGGGGGGGGGAGTCCGGGTGTGAGGTCCGGCCCTGACCACCCGCAGGCCGGCTGCTGTCTTCAGACGCTCGGATTCGAAGGCCCAGTGACCGCAGGCCCTGCCTCTCCCAAGAGGCTCCTCTCAGTGTGGCTGCTTCCCCAGGTCCCCTGCCTGCCTGGCTCCCGGGGGCTGCATTGGAGACCCCTGGCATCACTGGGTGCAGGTCGTGTCACTAGACCCTCAGGGTCCCCTGGCCGTCCTTGGGGGGGAGGGTGTGCCTGAGAGAGCAGATGACGGTTGTCTCAAGTTCAGGGCTTTGGACGGCTAGGTCATCCTGGGGACAGTGTGGACGCCGGTTGGTCCCGGTTCTGGAAAGACCCACCCTGGGAGAGGCTCTCGCTGGCACCCCCCACGTGGCGGGGACCACGCACCTGGAAACCCCGTCTCCGACGACAAAGCCAGGAGCGGCTTTGCTTAGCAGAGAAACTACTGTGTCCGGAAGGAGAAGGGGGCAGGGCGACTCGGGGAAGGCAGACAGGGGAGTCCTGAGGGTTGACTCCGTTTCCCTCTTTGCCGTGCGGCCGCCCCACACCCAGCTCGGGGACCAGCTCAGACGGGACGTGCTGCATAGGATCATCTGCGTCTGAATGCCAAGGCCCCCCAACAACCTCTCCCCAGACGACCTCTCCCCAGACGGCCCTGTGGGGACTGGAGCAAAGGCCAGCTCCTGGTGGGGGCACCTCGGCCCCGTCCCGCAGGGGGGAGAGGTACCGTGTGCGGGCGGGTGTTGTCTCGTCGCCCCGGAAATCTCCCCCCGCCCCGTGGGCCACCGCCCGGCCTGTGGGCGAGCGGAGCCTGCTGAGGCCTGTGGGGAGGTCACGCTTCCCCAGAACCTCGCCTGGCGGGGCTCCCTGAGCGGCGGCAGGGACCACAGTCGGCCCGGGGAGCAGGCCACCCCAGCAGGGATGAACGGGCCTGGGGAGTGGCATTAGCATCCTGTGGCTGCCGTCACAAGTCCCTCCCAACTGAGTGGCTTAAAACAGGGCTATGATCTCACAGTTTGGGGGCGCAGAACCCCAGTGCCAGGCTCGCGGGGCTCAATTGGGGGGCAGGCAGGGCTGCTGGCTCCCTCTGGAGGCTCTGGCGAGAATCCAGGTCCTCGCCTCCTCCAGCCTCTGGAGGTCACCGCTTTCCCTGGCTCGTGGCCCCTCCGTCTCCAAAGTGCAGCCTCTTCACAGCTCTCTCTGACCCTCGCCCTCCGGCCTCTCCGAGAGACCCTTGTGCTTGCTCCGGGCCCACTAGCGGACGCAGGGTCATCGCAGCATCTCCAGGTCCCAGCGGCAAAGCCCCCTTTGCCGTGCAGGGTGACACAGTTACAGGTTCTGGGCTCGGGGCGCGCACACCTTGCAGGGACGTTACCCAAGCACCCATAGCAGGCTGGTCCAGGGAGCCGGTTGGACAGTCCAGGGGTGAGTGGGTGCCCACGGGCCTACCCCTCGTGGCCGTGCCCCGTGGGGCCCAAGCAGGGCTGAGTGGGCGGGCAGCTGCTTCACAGAGGGCCACGCTTCCAGACACGCCCGCTCTGGGAGGGTGGGCCTTCCTGTCCAGGCAGGGTCCCGTCGCTGGAGTGAGTGGGGCAGGGTGAGGTGAGGCGGGGCGAGAGGCCCCCCTTTCTTTTAAGTTCAAATTATAAGTCATTCTTTAGTATGTTTCTCCCCAGTGAGCCCCCCCCGCCCCCCAGTGAGTCCCTCCATAGAACTATTTCTGCATCCCTGGGTAGAAGTGATTTCTGAGTGCTTACAAGTTTGTTTGTTTTTTTTTAAGTTACTTTCTCAGTTCTCCAGGAAACCACATCAAACGCTGGGCACTTCTGAATTTCTGAAGCTCAGCTGTTTCTGAGGAAGTCACCACTCTCAGGGAGCAGCTGCTGAAAGCTACGAAAATAGAATGTTTTCTGGCCCCCGAGAGATCCTCAGGGGCCACTGACCTTTGGCCCCAGCTTCTCGCTCCAGGGATTTGGCTTTGGAAGGCTGACCTCTCCCCTCCCTTTCATGCGTCGTGCCTGATGGTGCCAGGTTGGGCTCCACTCTGCGACCCAGGCCCTGTCCCTGCTCCTGAAGCCCCTCCCTGACCCCAGACCTCCCCGCCTCAGTGGCAGCCCTGCCCCCCCCGTGCCCCTCACTTGCAGATCTGCCGGGCCAGCTCTTGGGCGGGCGGTCACATCAGAAGTGGACGGCCTGCCCCTGGGCTCAGCCTGCCCGAGGGTTGCAAAGGCACCAAGGGGACACATTCCAGGTGGAAAGTGTACAAACAGCCGAACTGTAATGTTTCGGCAAATATTTCCTGAACGTCTACTTTGCACTAGGCCCTGGGCATTGGGGGTGGGATGGGGGCGCGTTTCGCCGGCTCATGCGCTGATCCCTCGGGCGGTTCTCCCACCAGGTATTTGGGCCGCGCTGACCGGGAGAGGCAGCGCGGGGGGGGGGGGGGCGGGGAGTGTTCCCCGAGTGTCTGTAATTACGGAGAACACGGGGCAAGTCGGGAACGCGGGGAAATCCTCCCCAGCCACACATAACATTTCTTAAACATGTTATCTTTCCTTAAAACATTGAAGGCTCATTAATTTGTCTTCTGATCAAAGGGCCAAAGCCTCTTCCCTGAAGGTGAGTGTGCGGGTGGGGGGGTTCCGGGGCATCCCGGAGGCGTCAGTGTTGGCTTTGGGGTTCTGGCTCTCAGAGGGCCCGAGAGTGGGAACCGCCCCCCAAAGCCGGGCCTCCTTGGCTGGGGCGGTCGGTGTGCGCCCCGCGGAATCTCCTTCCTCCGTGCTCGGACTCTCCGAGGCCTCCCACCCGGTCTTCCGAGTGCGTGCGGCTCGTGAGTTCACATCGGTGGTTCTCCAAGGGCGGTCCGGGGGTGCCGGGGACCCCGAGATCTCTGGGGAGGTCCACCCGTCACAGCCGTCTCCAGGATCGTACCGTGACGTCATCCCTTACGCACGCCTCACGCACGCCTTCCCTGGCCCGGTCCGGGGGGCGGTCTCCAGCGGCCACGGCACACTCCGACCTTGCGCTTGCGCACTCGCGGGCTTTGAAGTCTCTCGGCTGCACTTCCGACTGCAGTGTCGGCAGACGCAAACGACACGCACAAAAGCTCTTTGGGACCTCCAGTAATTTTTAAGAGTGTAAAGGCACCTTGCTACTACACAGTGTTGAGGACTCGCTGGTTTACCTATTTAAGTAAAGCGCGCATTTATAATATGAAGCACCGCCGGGGTCAGGAAGACCTGGGAACGATCACGATTGGTTTATTGTAAACCAACGTCGATGGGAGGAGGGCCTTGGTCAGAACAGCCCCGGAGGTCAGCGCTGGACGGCTGCGCCCTGGGAGGCCGGGTGAGAGCCGCCGCGGTTACAGTGGGGCGGCCCTTCACTGAGCACGTGCTGAGGGCAGCCCCGTGCCTGGTGCCCCTTCTCCGTGGATCCCCACCACCGTCCCAGGAGGGCGGGCCCGCCTTTACACAGGTGGGGAAACCGTGGCTCCGAGGGGCCGGTGAGGAGCACCGGACCCCGCCGGCTACTAAAGGCCAGATCTCAGGTCTGCTGGTCTCTAGGTCCTGAGTCTTCTTACCTTGCTCTTCTCACCCCTGAGTTCCCGCAGTCCGAGCTTCCCAGGAGGCGGGTGGGGAGGGCAGAGCCTCTGGTGGAGCTGGATGGACGCGGTGCCTTCCAGGTGCTCCAGGCTGGGAGGCAGAGGCAGGCTCTGGGGCCTGAGGTCAGGGCCCGGTGGCACCTTCAAGGCCATTTCCTTATAGGCAGCAAGACGGACCTGGACAGCATCTGACCTTCCCTGCCTGCCTTCTGGTGCCCAGCCTGGCAAGGGCCGCCGGGCCCAGCCTCGCTTGTGGTCCTCGCTGCCCCTCTCTGCACCCCTGCGTCCTGCACCCCCTTAGATGGGCTGCTGGCCCTCAGTAGGAGCCCCTGGCTCTGGGGAGGCTGAGCAGGTGGGACTGGGTGCTCCCTGGAGCCTCCCCCCTCACGGTCTGAGGCTTTCTCAGGACCCCCGAGACAGCCCGTTCTGGGGTTTGTAAGGGGTTCCCCGGGGCGAGCAGCCCCTGCAGGGGCGAGTCGCGGCACAGGACTGAGGAGTGGCTGCATTGCTTCTCAGGGCAGGCCTGCAGCTCTCAGAGGGGCAGCGGAACCTCCCCAGCGAGGCCCCACCGTTGCCGTGGAGACCGCGTGTTTACTCCCACCTCCACATGAGCTCATCTGGAGAACTGCCCTGTTCCGCACTGTCACCGTAATGGAATCCATGAAAATTCCAGATCCGTGCCAGCCCCCACTTCCAACAGCAGCCTGCGAGGGTCTCAGGATGGGGGGCAAACCCCTCCATCCGGCCCCTCACGTCCTACTCCCCCTAAGAGAACATGAGCCTCACGTGTGCGCCCGAGTTTCCGCAGCCCTGCCTGTGCCCAGGCCACTACTCCAGGAGTGCCCACCCTCCCCACTGTTCCACCGAACCAGCTTCGTTCTCCGCCCCAAGGCCAAGTGCAAATGTTGCCTCCTCCAGGATTCCACCCTCCCTCTCACCTCCTGACCTGCGTGAGGAGACCTCTTCCCCTTCTTAGTTCCTCTTCACTTAATGTGGCATTTCTATCTGCCTCTACTCGTTTTTGTGTTTCCATCCCTTGTCCATATAGCAAATTCTGGGGACCCCTGCCCCAGATATCCATGTCAACCAATGGTGGTTGGAACCAACTCAACACCAGCAGGCATCGCCCACTTGTAGTGTAGTGAGGAAGGAAACTTTATTCAGTGCAAACTGCTCGGCTGGGATACAGCCCCGCAGGAGGACAGCATGCCTGTGGAAGGATGTGTGGTGGCCCTGGGGCCAAGCCTGTCTCCTGCCCCGGTCCATGCTGGTCTGCTCTGCTCCGTCCTGGCAAGACACCTTCAGTGTTTCATCTTCAGTGTTTCAGCTCCATCCAGGGACAGGTAATCTCCAGTCTTCGGTGGAAGGGGGAAAGCACACTCTCAGAGCCAGTGGGGAGCTGACTTATATGGACTGCAGTCCCCATCCCTGGTCCCTGATTGGTCTGTTTTCATGCAAATGAGGACTCCAAATCCTTGTAGTTTGAGTGGTCCAAAAGGCACCATGCGGATGGGTCACAACGAAGCCTGTCTGATTGCTCAGTGAAGATCCTGATGGAGGGTATCGCTCCAATTGGACATGGAACCTCTCTACCATATTGGTTGAACCAGGATTCTGAGAACTCCTTTGTAAGGACTGGCTCAGGCGGCAGGACCACGGTGAAGGAGGCAGGCAGCTTAGCACTGAGAGGCCCCTGGGTAGGAGTGGCTGTGAGGCTCTGGGTCTTTTTTCTTTTTTTTAATGTGTTTGTTGTTGTTGTTGTTGTTGTTGTTGAGCCCAGTTAGTCACCAGGAGTCTTGCTAAGTAGTTAACTCCTTTCTCAGGGCTCACGCCCAGCAGTGGAGTGGTGGTCCGACGAGAGAGGCAGCGGGGGCCTGCAGACAGCTGCCCTGGAAGCTGGGTTGCTGGACGACACTGGGCAAAGTGAGTTAGCTTTCCCGAGCCTCGGTTTCCGCAGCCCCTGAACAGGGTGGGGGCCTGGAGGATTCTACAGACGCTGTCAGATCTGCCCATCCCTTTATTGCCTTTGGAAGACCTGTCACTTTTCCTAAGCTGCTTACCTTCCTTAGGAAGGCACTGCATAGAGGAAGTGAGTGGAGAAGCCGGTGGAAATGGGAGTGGCGACTGTTCTCCCCCTTTCTGAGATTCCAGGACCTCCCACCCTGGGAGCAGAGGCAACGAAGTGCTGCCCTACGCTGCCCCCGTGTGGCTCCCGTGGGCACTGCAGGCAGGAAGCCTTCACCCAAGGTTCCCAGGGCTGCTATAGAGGATGCCCATCGCCTGTCTGGACTGTCCCATTGACTTCCTGTTTTCCCGCCCACCTCTCACCTGGGCCAGGGAGCCCCCAGGGTTCAAGGGTGACCCCAAGTAAGAGGGCGCCCGAGGATGGAAGAACTAAGGTCTCAGCTCAGCCCATCAAGAACATTGCTTTGGACGTGCTGGGATGTGGGGAAGGGGTGGCTGTGGCGGCTCCCAGAGATGCACCCACCCCTGTCTCAGCGACCTGGTCTGCAGGCCGGCCCGATTGTGGCCATAGTGCCCACAGGGAAAAGGTGGCCTGGAAATGGCCGGCTGTGGGGCTAGGGGCTGGGAACTGACCCCCACTGTGTCTGGCGCCCCCAGAACACTGCTCCTAATGGGCTGAGCGGAGCCCCTCCACCCCTTTGGGACTGGTAGTGGTTCAGGCCCCTCCTTCCCTAGCCCCTCCCCACCATGGGGCCTCCCCTTCCCATCCCTTGCCAACCAACCCACCCCTCCAAACACGCTGCCCCGAGCCGACCTGTGCTCTGGACTCAGGCAGCCCTTCTAAGACTGTGCACACCAGGGGGACCTGGAGGGAGCCAGCGGCCCCAAGGGCTGCCTCCCTCCCACCTGCAAATGGCCCTCCCAGCTTTAGGCCCCGCCTCTGTGGCTTTCTAGCCTGTGCGGACAGGATCTGCCACCCCTGACCTTGGGCCGATCCCTGGCTACATGGAAGGGGCTGAAGGGAGTAGCACAGTGGGTCCAGGGGGGCTTCGAGGCTCCCCCCCTTTCCCAGGCGAACTGAGCACCTGCCTTACTTTAGACGCACTGAGGGCTGGGACCCCATGGGGCAGCAGACACCCATCCTGACGGAGTCTACCGGGGCTGACCTGACCTCTCCCTGACCCCATGCCCCTGGCCCGGGGCGTGGGGAGGGGAAAGGCGAGGAGCACGGCGTCCGTGCATGCATTCGAATTCAGGGAAGACCCAGAAACCAGCCAGTTCGCCAGGCAGGCCAGAGCCCGCCTGTGTCGTCGCTGCAGGATGACCCGAGAAAGAGGAGCCGATGGCCTTCCGGCCACTCCGCCAAACCCTCTAACTGGCTCGCTGGTTAGGAAAAGCACTTTGCCCGGGGGCAGGCCACCAATAAAACGAAGTATGATGATGGCAAGTTTCCGCTTTGGAGCTTGAAGGGCTGTGGTCTGGAAATAAATAAAAGACTCAGAAAAATATGCAGAGATGTTTCCTTTCTCAGCAGTAACT